AGGGTGGGGGAAATCAGTGGGAAGCATGGGGAGGGAATGGGGGGTGGGAATCAGCTGGCCGGAAGCGGGACTGACCTGGACACATACAGACCAGGGCACACAAGTGAGTCCAGCCCTGGGGATTCCATTTTGCCCCTCCCCCATACCTTCTCTCGAGTACTTGCGAACTGCCTAGCTGGTAGACACACTCATGCGGCATGAGCACATCTACCAGCCAGGCAGTTTGCAGCTACTGACTGACGCGCCTAATTATAATAAAATTTACCTAATTAGAAAATACTGAACATTTTATATGTCCGGTATTTTCTCAATTTGTTTCCTGGACAGAACCCTCAAATACCGGACTGACTGGTACAAAACTGGACACCTGGCAACCCTTCCCCTCCTTGTACCCTCCCTCCTAGCCAGATACCCTATTACCAATCTGCTCCTGCTCCCGGTCCCCGAAGCTCTGGCCCAGGCTGAGCCGAGCAGAGCATGCAGCCGGGTGAAACACTGAACATTTATTCATTTTTAATTCTTTTCTTTATATGCATTTATATTTTTGGGCTGCAAAAAACAGTACTGAAAAAAACGGGTTCCAACTAAAGTAAAAAGTTTGGGAAACCCTGGTCTAGCGAGCTTTCTATCCATCTTACAGTCCATTTATCCAGTCCATATTCCCTTAAACTTGCTGGCAAGAATATTATGGGTGACCATATCAAAAGCTTTGCTAAAGTTGGCACTGGGGGCTTTGGGAGGACCGGAAACAACTTATTTGAATATTCATCATTTGCTTAATGAATATGCAAATATGCAAATGAATATTACTGGTCCTCCAAAACGCAAATGAACGTTACCGGTCCCCCAAAAGCTTGTGAGTGGATTTACTGGTCCCCATGTCAAAAAGTTTGGGAAAACCTGCTCTACAGGGAAGTGGGTACTTCAAAGTGGAAGTGCTGTTTGAAGACGGAGGCCAGCTAGGGTTTCCCTAGGCTGCACACAGTATTTCAAAGCGGCAGCACCTCAGGGAATCTACAGTTAGTGGGGGAGTCCCCTTTGAAGTGTAGCAACAGCCCTAGGGTTGTTGCTACACATCAAAGGTGGAGGCACCTACTGACTAATAAAATAGTCGATGCAAAATTGGATTAGTCAGTCGATATTTAGCATCCTTATTGAACACATTAGAGATCATCAACTTCTGGACCAATTAATATGAAAAGCTGGATAATGGAAGGTCAAAGAGTGGAATAGGGGGAGGGGGGGAATGCCACAGTAAAGGCAGAAGCACTGGAAAAAAGAAAACACTTGATAAGCATTACACAGCAGCACTCAATGCAACTGCTTCACAAAAAAAATAGGTAAATATGCCAAACTGATTGGAGGAATAGATAAATAAATATGCAAAGCAAGTCAGAGATGGAATGAAACAAAAACGCAGTCTCTAACATGCTGCTGCTTCTTTACTGACAGTGGTCTAGGAGGCAATGCAGTGTTTACTCAGCAGCATTTACATGGCAGAGGTAGCATACAAGAGTTATTACAAGGTCTAGCTTGAAATGCTTCATTACTGTACCTTTCTAGGTAAAAAATACCTTAAGAGCTAAGGAGCAAAGACATAGGGATTTACAATCCTACATATATGGGATCTTTAGGGGATTGTGTTTAAGCTCCTTCATTAGAAGTCTGAAGTTTAAAAAAGCCTTTCCTGCAGAGTGAAATTTAAATCTGCAGCAATGGCCAAATGTCCCTAAATACAGATTGCTTCTGATGAATGATGAGCAGAAAAAGAAGGATTTTGAAAAGACACCAAAGTGACACACTCATATTCGGTCATGCTTCTGGAGTTTTATTTATCATTTTGGAGAATGAGGTCTTAAATCTAACTGCATAACACTGTTAAACCACCTCCAATGTGTCAAATTCTTTTTCTACAAGTTGAGCTTACTCTATACTAGCAATTCACCTCAGTGTAACTGTTGCTCAGCAATGACAAAAGTCTATACTCCATGACCAACACAGTTGTACTGATCTAAATCCCAGTGTAAACAGTATTATCTCATTGGGAAGGTTCTCTCATTGACATAGCTATTGCCTATCAGGAGGTGGATTACCTATGCTCACTGGCATACCTAACATCTTCACTGAAGCACTATAGCAATGCAGCTGTAGTCATACTGATGCAGCCTTTTAATTGAAGGCAAGTCCTGGATCTTGAGCGCCGCAAGCTATAACCATTTCTGCATAATGATTATTGCAAAAAAAAAAAAAAAATCAAATTTAAGCATAATCACATACTCTTCTGCCACTTGTTGAAAAAGCTTTGAAAAGTTTAACATACCAGAAATTGCAGGATTCAGTCCTAAGGAAGCGAAAGAAGCAGAGTTTTGTTCAGAGGTCTTGATCCTTCCATCCACATTCCAGGGAGCTGAAATCAATAGTTTGGCATACATTTATACTTTATTTTGCCATGATGAAGGCATCTAAAAATCAGTTGTCTAAAGCTACAAGAATACTGTTAAAGAATCAGAAGTAATTTCAACTGCAAGACAAAGTCCCATCCTACTGAGATATTGCCTGTGGCTTTAAGTTTACTCTTGCTTACTGGGTACTATAAAAGATGACCAAGCGAATGAGGTAATGATTTTTAATTGAACTAGCTACTATAGTTGAAAGAGAAGCTTTCAAGCTATCCTACACTCTTCTTCAGGCCTGGGAAAGGTTCTCAGAGCAAGTATGTTTAAAAGACTGCAATTGCATAGCTTCTCCCATCAGCATACTTAATCCACCTCTGAGAGACCAGGGGTTGAGCCAATATAACAGCATTGATCAAGGGTGTAGATTTTTCATATCCCAGAGTGAGGTAGTTACACTGATTTAAGGGGACAATCCAGGGTGAAATGGCCTGTTCACACTTCTGCAATCATAGAACAATAGGGGAGAGGGTTAGTGGGGTACAGACTGTTGAAACAGTATCAATAAAGAGATTGGGTTATGTTTTTAATGTCTAGCAAAGTTGTGAATTTGAGGCTCTACGTTTGTCTTCTGAAGGGCAGATATACACTTAAAATGATGCACTAGTCGTGCTCTCTTCAGTGAGGGTTAGGTCAGTATAACTACATCACTGATCCACCTGTGGAAGACATAGCTATACCAATGTAAGTCTGTAGGTTTCCTTTGAGGACAAAGATTAAAAGGTCAGTTATGAAGTAATAATTTTGTGAAAAGTGTCTACAGTGACAAGGCATTTGTCTTAGTTTTCTGCAGGAGTACATTTGAGACACAACTGATTCTTTGATTTCATCCTTAAGAGTTATTGGGGCATTTAGTGCACTGGATGAGGTATGCCATATGACAGGGTAGGGCCCATTGCTCTTGAAACATGATGTAGTGGAAGGTGTTCATAATCATAACAGTGGAAATATAACTGTGGGTCTTGCATCTGTTATGACAGTCTGGTACTGCTTTGAGTAGGCAGGTACTAGTCTGTATGGATTCTGATTATGAGCTTAGTAAGATGGGGAGGGCGAATGTTTCTGAACAGCAGAAAAGAGAGAGGGGCAAGATGTAGTCCTCATCAAGTGTGGGCTGTAACTGTTTAACAATACCTTATGTAGGTTCCAGTGCAAGGTGATAGGTGAAAATCGGGCAGTATTCTGTCCAATTCTGGGCACCCCATTATGGAAAGGATATGAACACATCGGAGAGAGTCCAGCGGTGAGCAACAAAAATGATTAGGGGGCTGAAGCACATGACTTATAAGGTGAAGCTGAGGGATTTGGACTTATTTAGTCCACAGAAGAGATGAGTGAGAGGGGATTGATAGCAATCTTCAACCTCCTAAAAGGGGGTTCCAAAGAGGATGGAGAGGTGCTATTCTCAGTGATGACAGAACAAGGAGCAATGGTTGTCAATTTACAGTGGGGGAGGTCTGCATTGGATATTAGGAAAAAAAAACCTATTTCACTAGCAGGGTGATGGAGCACTGGAACAGGTTACCTACGGAGGTGGTGGAATCTCCATCTCTAGATGATTTTAAGTTCTGGTTTGACAAAACCCTGACTGGTATGATTTTGTTGGGATTGGTCCTGCTTTGAGCAGAGGGTTAGACTCTATGACCTCCTGACGTCTCTTCAAACTCTATGATAGTAAAAGGTTCAAGAATGCTCGCCTGAAACAATACTTACCGATACCAGGGAACAAAGTGCGCTCACCCCAGGATCTGCTCACAATGGAAACACCCCAATCTTTTCCATTTCCACTAGCATCTCCAGTGTCCTGACCCCAAGCAGATGTCTCAGTTTTCCTCTTCCCTGCTGTAGCTGATGGAACAGATGCCCATTTCTCCTCCCCTACGCTGATCTCTGAGGAGATTTTTACAGATTTCTCATTCCAATTTCCTCCATTTACAGTAGGACTTTCATTCAATCCTGAAGAAACTTTAAAAAATAAATAAATACATGTTAAAAAACAGTGACTGGATAGAGAGTTAAAATATTACTTGAATATAAACCAATCAATTTCATTATTTAATTTCACTCAGTAACTATATTTTATATACCAGAATCATATGCAGTTGCAGAACAATTTTAACACAAACCATGAATTGAAACAATAAATCTCCTAGTCTCTAAAAGAGGTCAACTTAAGGCTGAAAAGTCTAAAGTACCACTCACGTTTCAAATGTCAACACTTCTACATCTGTCCTCCTCACTTCTACCTGTATATTTCATTCCTGCGAAGATACTGAAATGTTTTAACACTCTGCCTCCTTCCTGCTATGTTAGAGAACAGGTTCTATTTTTTGCCCTTCTTTCCCTCACCTCTTCATGGCTAGAGGGCCTCTATTATATCCTTTTTTGCTACACACCTTTCTTTTGCTTCACTTTCTTCCTAGCGGGGGTGTCAAAACACTGCTCCCTCCAAATACTGTTCAATATCGTCTGTCAATATTGTTCTTTCAGTCAGCTTTTGGGGAACAAGAGACAGCAGTGCGCAGCGCTTTTTAGAGGCTCACGTGTAGAACTCCAATACGAATGTGGCAGTATTGTGATATTTACATAAGCAAACATGACACTTTACAATGAAAGTGTGCAAAATAAATGAGAGTCCTAGATATTAAGAGTTTGGAATCTAGCAAGCTTAGTTGCAAGTCCATGAACCAGCCCAATTCTTGAGTACTTGAATACTCTTGAATGCTCATAAGAATAAAACCAGAAGAGCAGAAATATCCAAAAAAAACCCTATATTCTGGATCAACTACTGATAGCAGAAAAAGCAACATTTTTTAACAATGCTGCAACATTGTTTGGGATCAAAAGAACACTGAAAGAGGAATGCCATTAGTGAGAAGAGGGAGTACTGATGATAGGAACTTCTGCAGATGCCAGGAGGGACCTAGTAGAAGGGAGCCAAAATGAGACATGATGGCAGCTTCTTTACATGTGGCATAGAAGAGGAGCAGATGTTCAATCTCTCTTGGCCCCCTGGTTCTTATTGCTAGAATATTAATAGCGAGAAGAATTTAGGAAGCAACACCAGAAGGCTGTACCTCACTTCCTGTCCTCCTTCTCTCCTTTAAAAGGCTACTACTTCCTGTCCACTGTTACTTCTCATTCCTGCATTAAAAAGGGGACCTCTAGGCTTATCAAGAGCTCTGTATCTGATGAAGACAACATGTCATCTCCCTTGCCCCTCCCACCAGAGGAGCAGCAATTGAGAGAGCTATGAGAAACCTCTTCAGGCAGTTCTGAACTAGGATGGGATGAAGGAAGGTTTCCACTTTATCGAGAAAGGCTAGTGAAATAATCAGGAGCTTTCCAAATCAAGAAGGGCAAATAAGCACTGGGCTTATCAAATCTGAAAATGTAGAGACAAATATTCCATGTTCTACCTTTTTGTTTTCTACCCTAAAAAGCATAAAAACATCCACAGCTTTTTAGGATACCCTAATCCTGAAAAAGCGACGAGGAGTCCTGTGGCACCTTATAGACTAACTGAAGTGTAGGAGCATGAGTGAGAGGGGATTGATAGCAATCTTCAACCTCCTAAAAGGGGGTTCCAAAGAGGATGGAGAGGTGCTATTCTCAGTGATGACAGAACAAGGAGCAATGGTTGTCAATTTACAGTGGGGGAGGTCTGCATTGGATATTAGGAAAAAAAAAAACCTATTTCACTAGCAGGGTGATGGAGCACTGGAACAGGTTACCTACGGAGGTGGTGGAATCTCCATCTCTAGATGATTTTAAGTTCTGGTTTGACAAAACCCTGACTGGTATGATTTTGTTGGGATTGGTCCTGCTTTGAGCAGAGGGTTAGACTCTATGACCTCCTGACGTCTCTTCAAACTCTATGATAGTAAAAGGTTCAAGAATGCTCGCCTGAAACAATACTTACCGATACCAGGGAACAAAGTGCGCTCACCCCAGGATCTGCTCACAATGGAAACACCCCAATCTTTTCCATTTCCACTAGCATCTCCAGTGTCCTGACCCCAAGCAGATGTCTCAGTTTTCCTCTTCCCTGCTGTAGCTGATGGAACAGATGCCCATTTCTCCTCCCCTACGCTGATCTCTGAGGAGATTTTTACAGATTTCTCATTCCAATTTCCTCCATTTACAGTAGGACTTTCATTCAATCCTGAAGAAACTTTAAAAAATAAATAAATACATGTTAAAAAACAGTGACTGGATAGAGAGTTAAAATATTACTTGAATATAAACCAATCAATTTCATTATTTAATTTCACTCAGTAACTATATTTTATATACCAGAATCATATGCAGTTGCAGAACAATTTTAACACAAACCATGAATTGAAACAATAAATCTCCTAGTCTCTAAAAGAGGTCAACTTAAGGCTGAAAAGTCTAAAGTACCACTCACGTTTCAAATGTCAACACTTCTACATCTGTCCTCCTCACTTCTACCTGTATATTTCATTCCTGCGAAGATACTGAAATGTTTTAACACTCTGCCTCCTTCCTGCTATGTTAGAGAACAGGTTCTATTTTTTGCCCTTCTTTCCCTCACCTCTTCATGGCTAGAGGGCCTCTATTATATCCTTTTTTGCTACACACCTTTCTTTTGCTTCACTTTCTTCCTAGCGGGGGTGTCAAAACACTGCTCCCTCCAAATACTGTTCAATATCGTCTGTCAATATTGTTCTTTCAGTCAGCTTTTGGGGAACAAGAGACAGCAGTGCGCAGCGCTTTTTAGAGGCTCACGTGTAGAACTCCAATACGAATGTGGCAGTATTGTGATATTTACATAAGCAAACATGACACTTTACAATGAAAGTGTGCAAAATAAATGAGAGTCCTAGATATTAAGAGTTTGGAATCTAGCAAGCTTAGTTGCAAGTCCATGAACCAGCCCAATTCTTGAGTACTTGAATACTCTTGAATGCTCATAAGAATAAAACCAGTAGAGCAGAAATATCCAAAAAAAACCCTATATTCTGGATCAACTACTGATAGCAGAAAAAGCAACATTTTTTAACAATGCTGCAACATTGTTTGGGATCAAAAGAACACTGAAAGAGGAATGCCATTAGTGAGAAGAGGGAGTACTGATGATAGGAACTTCTGCAGATGCCAGGAGGGACGTAGTAGAAGGGAGCCAAAATGAGACATGATGGCAGCTTCTTTACATGTGGCATAGAAGAGGAGCAGATGTTCAATCTCTCTTGGCCCCCTGGTTCTTATTGCTAGAATATTAATAGCGAGAAGAATTTAGGAAGCAACACCAGAAGGCTGTACCTCACTTCCTGTCCTCCTTCTCTCCTTTAAAAGGCTACTACTTCCTGTCCACTGTTACTTCTCATTCCTGCATTAAAAAGGGGACCTCTAGGCTTATCAAGAGCTCTGTATCTGATGAAGACAACATGTCATCTCCCTTGCCCCTCCCACCAGAGGAGCAGCAATTGAGAGAGCTATGAGAAACCTCTTCAGGCAGTTCTGAACTAGGATGGGATGAAGGAAGGTTTCCACTTTATCGAGAAAGGCTAGTGAAATAATCAGGAGCTTTCCAAATCAAGAAGGGCAAATAAGCACTGGGCTTATCAAATCTGAAAATGTAGAGACAAATATTCCATGTTCTACCTTTTTGTTTTCTACCCTAAAAAGCATAAAAACATCCACAGCTTTTTAGGATACCCTAATCCTGAAGATGACCACAGTCTGCTTGGAAAGCTGTAAGTGCTAGTAAGGTGGACAGTAATGCTAGTAGTAAAAGAACCTGAATAAAAGAATCTCCTCATCCCACATATATCTTCTTCTCAAGCACTGCTGCACAGCAACTAGGGATGTTAAAATACGTTTAATCAGGTAAACGCAGGGGGTAGGTGGCTCTTGACCATAGCCCAGGGATGGGAAACAGATCCAGGGGCCAGTTGCAGCCCCCAGCTTGCCTGGATCCAGCCCTCGAGGCTCAGGGCTCCCCCCCTGCATTGGGGAGCCTGCAGAGCTGGAGCACACAATCTATCTATTAACCTGGGCCCCACAATGCTCTGGTGTATGAGTGGAATGTGGGCAGTGTGGTCTTTCCTTCTCAGTTGGGGGAAACGTGAATGAGGATTTGAGGTGTGGGCTTTTTTTGGAGGAGAGGAGCGGGGGGGGGGGGTTGTTTCTCACTTGTGTTGCCCCAAATGATTTTTCTGTGGGCGCCCACTGGTTAACCTTTCACATCCCCACTTTCTAATGGATGTTATTTCTTATAATTCAAAATAATGCTGATTTGAAAGACTACATGGTCTATATCTGATCACAGCTACACTGGCTTATATAGTTACCATCTGGATTTGACAATGCTGGACTTGATTTCCCAAATGTTCTTGGATCAACTTCTTTTACTAGTAAGACTAACAATATAAGCTTCAACACTCTCATGTATTTATAGTTTGAGCCCAACTTTGAGAGAGTTTGGTTAAAATTATAGTAATTCCATGTACCAACAGGTATCTCCATGTGCAAAATATACATGTTCACTACTGTGGTATTTAGGTACCAAATGACCTATTTGTCCCCAAACTGCAGATCAGATTTCCTGAGAATCAGGACCTGCATGTCTAACTCAAAGCAATCATGCTGGGACTAACCTTTAATTTAATTTAATTTATTTATTTGTTAGGCAAATTGCCAACTCATTAACTTGAGAAAGTGGACTAAGGCTAGTCTGGTCAGCCCACAAATGTTGTTCCAAGACACAAATGTTTGTGATTTATTGAGTATAATTTTTCTATCAAGTATAAACAGTGTAAAAATTATAGCTTATAATGTTATAGTATTACAGTAACTAAGGGTAAAGTGTCTGTATAGCCAGTGTACAGTTATTGAGAAATAACTGAACAATGATTGTTCACCCACAAATGAAGAGCAACAATTGCACAACTGAGAAAAAAGTTCTAGATCACAAGCAGTATAGCATGATGCACTCTAAGTGGAGTTCTATTTTTGTATAGGAGACTATTACTCAGATTAACAAATACACAAGTCAAATCCTTTACCTTGCGGAATTGTTGGATCTCCCTTTGAAGATTTTGAGCTGCTAACTTGAACATTCAGAATTGTATCACCTGATTAAAGAAAAGGTCTTTACAAACCATTGTACATCTCATTACATGCATCTATAGTCAGTATTCATTGCTAAAGGTCATATTATATTTCAGAAGGATAAGCTTTTTAGCAAACATTAATGTGCAAAACATTTACATCAAATGAAAGAAAAAGTGTGCAAATACAGCAAGTTTTAGAAATAATATGAAAACTAAAAATATGGGCACTTAATCTTAAAGGCTATTTGCTTTATGTACAGTTTAGACACCTCAATTTAAATCAAAGAACCTCTAAATCAGCTTCAAATTCAGTTTAAGAGTTAATTTGAAAGGAGCCCAGCTACTTTTCCAGTGCTCATGAGCACCATGCCCAGATCTCGTGGGAGAACTACCTCAAAACACCTCCACTAGCTTCTTACAGACATCATTACAAAAGGAAACTGCTGTTTCTACCTCTTACCTAACCCAGGCAGTGCTGAAGAAGCAGCTGAACTCCTTTCAACTTAACCTGGTGCAAGGTGACATCTGAGAACAGGAGGTGCACCTCACATTGCCATGATCCCTGCTCACATAGACTACAGCAGTCATTAACGTCAATAAAGATCACAACACAGTTGCAGTCAATACAGTTCTTGAAGTTGCTGGGTTGCCTTACTTCTTACATGCCTGCAGTGACAAAGGGAAAATGACTGATAGCACACAAGGGCAATGGCAGTGCATTCAGCCAAGATGAAAACAAGTTCTGATAAAGAAGAAACAAGGCTCTGAAGCATCAATGATGCAACGAGTTAAAGTCAGAATGTGAAAGTAATGTAGCAAAGCACCAGAGGGAAGCTAGGCTCAAACTTTCTGCTGCTCTGTCAGAACCTCTGATGCATTGTTCTTTGTTTAATTAGGCATTCAATGCATCAAATGGCACCAGACTGCCTACCGGATATCTGGCACCTTAGTATAACCAGGCATCTACTGAAAATGCAACTCATTATTTAGCAGGCCAACAAAACAACAGTGTCTTTCTGCTCTTCTTACGGGGCTGAGGAAACTGATGAAGCTGTGGTATCAACAGTTGCATCAACAATACCCAGACAAGTAAAACTGGTATGGTGGAGGAAGGGGAAGTCTGTGTTTCAGTTTAATAGGAAAAACTGACCACAAAGGGAAGGGAAGGATGAGAGGAAAATTGGTATAAAACCTTTGGGATCTACCCTCCTCCCTCAAAATGATGATCTCTGTAAGGAATCTCTCTCAACAGTCAGGAAAGAACATGGATAGTGGTGGGAAGAGGCCAAGCTAGGTACCTGATTCAGAGATGTGTCTATAGGTTTCAGTAAGCATAAGGCCTTACACATTTATTATATGCTCTACAGATGAAGTCATGGACGTAATGGGAATCTTAGTGGAGCAGGTCCACAGAAAGTACAACAACCTACAGTTCCAATAACGGTTATATAGATTTAATCCCCTTCCTATTATATTGCATTTCTAAGCGAACACTACTTATTATTCAAATACTCTCTCCTTTTCCCCCAACTTCATACCTTTACTTTTTCTGGGACCAACTGGAAAAGATGGTGTAGGTATTAGTTGTTCGTTGGCTATTGTAACTGCATTTTCCATCCCAGGGAGATTTGATTCTATTGGGCCAGCATCAGTCAGTACCTTGTCACGCTTACGCTGCTGCCTTTTCTCACGATTACTGATTTTAGTTTCCCAAGTTCCTAAAATATGTTCATAAATAAAAAAAGACATTAAACGAGTAATACAATGGCAAAAATAACCAAACTAAAATTGAAGTGGGAACCAAGTTTAATTTGTTTACAAGTTAGCAATATGATAAACTGAAATCAATAGGTAAAGGTGAGAACAAAGGTGACTGAACTTTACATGTAAGAGTTTAAATGGCATTCTTGAAATGCCAGTATGCCCTTTTTTGGGATGTGAAAACAGTAGTCTTTTGTTTTTACAGCCACACAAATCTTATGAACCATAACACTTCAGGTAGAACAAGGTGTAGGCTGAGTGTTCATCTAAGGCAATTTTACTATTTTTCAACTCTTATAATCCAACAATCACAAATCAATTTGCTAGCACTACAGTTCTGAATCTACCACGGTACCTTTCCTATTCCAGAAATCTTGGATTTTCAGATATTCAGCATGCAATCAGTCTTAAATTAAGAATCAGTCTTAAATTTTGCCAACTAGTAACCACTACATGCCCACAGATCAGATTTAAGATAACATGAGCTAATTAAATTCTTTATATGTTTAAAGAAGTAAAACTTAGGTAGAAGTAAGCAAAAATGTCTCACTGCACTGCTTGATCTATGCTGCTGTTAATACCTTCATCTGCTTCTTTTCCATCCAGACGTGACAAGTCCTGAACCGTTTTAGCATCTCCCTTTGATTTCTTCTTATTCTTTTTTGACTAAAATGAACAAAAATTAGGTTCTATGTTATTAAAGACACTAAATGTTTTTATTACAGATATTAAGAAAATACTGTTATCAAAAGAGTAAGATATTTACAGATTAGAAATGAAAGACATACTTTGCACGATTAATATACTGGCTAGTGCCAAAGTAGTGGCTTTTAGAAAACATTTCTTCACTATGAAGAGCGGGAAAAATAAATTCCCCCTCTCTATTTGTTGCATTTAAATAAAGTGAATGCCCCCAGCCTTTGCTGACAATCTGCAAACAACAAATACTGGAAGAATGGAAAGTGAGGCTAGGTCAGTCATAAAGAGCAATCTGGATTGCTTGATAGACTACACCAGTTAGAACAAAATGAACTTTAATACAGTCACATGCAAAGTTTTACATCTAGTAACAAGGACTAATGGCCAGCCATATCTACAAAATGTGGGACTGTATCCTGGAATACAATGATTATGAAAGGGATTTATGGATTACCGTGCATGAACATCTCAAAAATGAGCTTCCGGTCCAACACTGACCAAAAGTTGTAATACATTCCTCAGAAATAGGGGAACGGTCAATAGGAAGTAGAAATAGAACAGTTGCTTACCTCGTAACTGTGATTCTTCCAGATGTGTTGCTCCTATCCATTCCAATATAGATGTGTGTGCGCAGCATGCACATGCCGTCAGAAGTTTTTCCCTCAGTAGTACCCTTAGGGCCAGCAGGGAGCCCCCTGGAGTGGCGCAGGTATACCAGTCCATATATACCCCTGATGGCCCCTTCACCCACTCAGTTCCTTCTTGCTGGCATATACTGGAGAAAGAGGGGTGGGCGGGGATTTGGAATGGACATGAGCAACACATCTCGAAGAATCACACTTACGAGGTAAGCAACCGTTCATTGTTCTTAGAGTGATTGCTCGTGTTGTATTCCAATATAGGTGACTCCAAAGCAGAACCTAAGGAGGAGGGCTGGAGGATGAAACTACAGAAGAGTGGAGGACTGCCCTACCCAGGGAGCGTTCCCTCTGGCCTGATGCGACAGTGTATAGTGGTTGACAAACATATGGACAGAGGACCATGTGGCGGCTCTGCAAATGTCCAGGATGGGAACCTGCGCGATGAAAGTGGTGGAGGCAGCCACCGGCCTTGCGGAGTGTGCTTTAAGAGGCGGAGCTGAAGCGTCCACCAGGGTGTAGCACTCCCTGATGCAAGTGGTTATCCAAGAGGCTATCCGCTGGGTGGACACAGGTTGGCCCCTCATGCACTCTGCAATAGCCACGAAAATTTGTGGCGACTTCTGGAATGGTTTGGTCCTGTCTAAATAAAAGGCTAGCGCCCTATTGATGTCTAAAGTGTTTAAAGCCTGCTGTTTCCCAGATGCATGCGGTTTAGGGTTAAAAACCGGCAGGAGGTGGTCCTGGGAGGTATGGAAGGATGACACCACCTTCGACAGGAAATCTGGGTGAGGGCGGAGCAGAACCTTATCCTTAAAAAAATACATCAGATCCTGCCTACACGGTGAGTGCCCTAAGTTCAGATACCCACCAGGCAGAAGAGATTGCCACCAGGAGAGCCACCATATAGGTTAGGTGGAGGAGGGAGCACGTTGCTAATCGTTTGAACAGAGGCCCCATAAGTTTGCAGAGAACCAAGTTTAGGTCCCACTGGGGAATGGGCTTGCGGATGTGGAGATAGAGCCTGTCCAGCCCTTTCAGGAACCTGTTGACCATTGGATTGGCAAACAGGGTTTTCCCCCTTTTCCCCAGGTGGAAGGCAGAGAAGGCCTCCCGGTGAACCTTGATGGAGGAGGGAGAGAGATGCTAGAGCCTAAGGTCTAACAGGTAATCTAGGATCAGGGGAATTGGAACCCACCTTGGGTACACCCCCTTCTGGGAAGCCCAAACAGCAGAATCACTTCCACTTAGCCAGATACATGGCCCTGGTAGAGGGTTTTCTGCTACCCAGGAGGACCTCCAGGACTACAGTGCCGGGAACGGTGCCAAGAGCAGGAGTGGCACCACGAGCGAGAACTGGAGGCCCTCGAGGACTGGACAGATTCTGCCTCTCAGTTGGACGAGTACTCCGAGGTGGACCAGGACGGTGCCAGCACAGATGACGAAGGAGTTGCGGTGCGCTGAGACATGGACTCAGGCTTGCCGCAGTGCTGAGGTGGTGGTGGAGGCATGGCTGCGCAGGAGTCCTGCATGGAGGTAGGTGCCAATGGGCCCTGGGACGGTGCTGGTGCTGGGTGATGTTGCCGTGCCTAGTCCGTGCCATACCTTTGGCCGGTACCAGGGGAGCCGGTGCCTCGATGGCCGGTGCCGCATGCGGTGCCGTTGGGACCAGGCGATGTCTGCCATCATGCACCATGCCTTCGGTTGTCCTGGGAGGCGATTGGTGCCGAATGTCCCCATGCCACCTAGGGGATGATGGAGTCAGAGGAAGAGGGGTGGAGGAGGACTCAATTAGAACCCTCGCTGCTTCCAAGGCCTCCGGTGTGGATGGCTCTGGGAAGTCCTCCAGAGAGCTGACATCCCCTCGCTGGGAGGAAGGCATGCCCAACCCTAGAAGGCCCGGGCTCATCTGCACCATGTGCCCAGGCGGGGACCGACCCTTGTTAGGCTGCCTCTTCTTCTGAGGCGCCGGCAATTGAGAGCAGTGCCCCTGTGGTGCAGGAGAGGTACGGTGCGCAGAACTGTCGTACACCGAGGCCAGTGTGCTTCGGGAGGCTGGTGCCGAGTCCAGTGCTGGTTGAAGCACTGCTTCCATGAGGAGGATCCTAAGGTGCAACTCCCTCCCCCATTTCGTCTGGGGCTTGAAGACCTTACAGATTTTACACACCTCTGTAAGCTGCGCTTCTCCCAGGCACTTTAAGCACAATGAGTACGGGTCACCTCATGGCATAGGCCTATTACATTTTTTGCAGGGCTTAAAACCTTGTGGGCCTGGCACGCCCTGCCGCGGGCACACGGCACGTTGTGGCGGGGAACAGAATACAACAAAAGAGTCTTTAACTTAAACTGCAGACACTTAGCTGAAGATTAACTAAAGAAAAACAATGAAGACAACGATGACGTTGAGGAGCTGAGGGTTGTTCCAATGACCATAACCGCAGTAAGAAGGAACTGAGTGGGTGAGGGGGCCAGCAGGGGAATATAGCAGATGGCATACTGGCGCCACTCCAGGGGGCTCCCTGCTGGCCCTAAGGGTACTGCTGAGGGGAAAACTTCCGATGGTGTGTGCACGCTGCATGCACACACCTATATTGGAATGCGCATGAGCAATCACTCGAAGAAGAAAGAAAAGTTATTTTACTTCTGTATATGGAACTAGTGAGAGATTCTGGAATACAGTGTACAATTCTGCTGTCCACATTTTTAAAAAGATGTTGACAAACTGGACAATACAGAAAAGAGGCACAAAAGTTATTCAAGGGCTGGAGAAAACCTTACAGTGAGAGACTCGGTACAGTGTTTAGTTTTTCAGATGATGACAGGGGACTTGATTACATATAAGTACATTAATTGGGAGAAAATGACAAGTACTAACGTGCTCTATAATCACAGAAAAAGGTACATGAATCAATTGCTGGAAGCTGAAGCCACACAAACGCCAATTAGAAAGCAGACACAATGTTTTAACTTACTCCTGATGCCATTCTATAAAATACTAAAACTTCTGTGCACAATATTTTAAAGTTATTCAAATTTTGTCAAAATGCACTACATAATCACAAGTTTCAGTTACAGGCAGTCCCCAGGTTACATACAAGATAGGGACTGTAGGTTTGTTCTTAAATTGAATTTGTATGTAAGTCAGAACTGGTGTCCAGATTCAGCCGCTGTTGAAACTGACCAGCGGCTGACTACAGGAAGCCCAAGGCAGAGCTGCTCTTCCCCGGGGC